TGCAATTGGATGAATTCCCTCAAGCATCTTGCCCACATCATCAGGCCACAGCAACTGAATTTGATCCCATGCCAGATGGTGCTTTAGACCCCTTCAGATATATACTATTTCTGTGCAGTTCAATATGAATGCAAGTGATTTTACCCTCAAATTCCTTTGCAAAGTTGTCACAGCAGGCCTCCAAGGGTTATTGGGTCAGCCTGTTCTGATGTCCAGCCACACTGCATGGGCTTAGATGGGCATGTTGCCTGCTTACAGCAACATGCTCTGAAATCAATATGGACTTCCTAAAAGCCATGGGCCTTCAGAAGAGACTCTCTAGGCTGAATTGCTGTTGGTTGCTTCCTTTTAAATTATGGGTGTGATGCTTAAAAATTCCCTCTGCTGAAGTTCTGAAATGAACCCAACATTTTAACTGACCTGGCATGCTGCTCTAAACGCTTACTAGTTTTTAGGAGATGTTTTCTGCCTGCACATTGGGAGATTTCTGGTAATTTAGGTGATGGGACCTCAAAGAGGAACTTTGTATTTGTATTTTTTTTTCCAAAGCGGCAGCACACGCTGTGTTTTATTTGCAACATTATGTGAATAGCCTGTAACCTTATTTTGTTGCTCTATAAATTACCTATTCAGAAGTAAAAAAACAACAACCCTTAATCTGGTACGAATGCACTGTGCTTAATTAGTACTGACAAATCAGCCAGCAGCTGGGTAGCGTTAAAGGCTGAGAAAGCCCATGAAGTCTTTGTGGCAAAGAGCCAGGCTACATTTTGAGGTTTTATTTCTTGCATTCTAGAAAATTGTAGGAAATCAATAGAGAATGCTTTGATACAACACCAAGGGAAGCTATCTCCCACCTACCTGCAAAACGTTGGTGACTGGGTGTCCATCTGTCAGTGTTACTGTCACTGCATCCTGTATTTCAGATTCTGCACTGAGCGGGGAGTGGGACTGGACAAGTCACTTCTAAAAGGAGAGAAAAAGAGGATAGCCCTATACATCTACATAGACTCATCAGCCCTGTTTAAGCATTCAAAGAACATGTGAGGGCATAAAGTATGGAGGGCAGGCATCACCCTCGTATTCAGTCCAAATACTCAGTGCAGTACTCAGTGCAGAATCTGCAACACATGATGCTGCTGCATTGACCCTGATAAATGGACACCCAGCTATCAACATCTCACTGATGAAAATAAGTGCACTCCTCTGTGAGAGTATCTGGGTAAAGCTATGGGCATATGCCCCCTAATGGGGGTAGGCAGGGAGGGCTGTTTGCCATATTTCAAACAGTAAAAATTCGGACAGAAAAGTTGTCGAGCTCTTTTGGCTATTTTTAAGGGGAAATGTCCCAAAAAACACTTTAGCAACTTCTGCCCAGACACTGCTTCCAACTCCAGTATCCTGGATATGTCTTGGAAATTCTGGATGTATGGCAAAGTCTCCCTCCCCCCCCCCCATACACACAGTGCTTGCCGATTCCACATGCTTTTACATAAGGTTGTTTGTTGTTGTTGTTGTTGTTGTTGTTGTTGTTTTCCAACAAGTAAAAGCAGAATCTTGAATTTCATACCAGCTTGAGAACTGCTCCATATGGGTCTAAAATGAAGCATTCACCCACTCTTAGACGGATAACTGGCATGGTAGATGAAGAACATTGTACAGCTTTTCCACATTAGCTATTCCACATTAGGTGCTCTTAAAACAGCATGCAGGAAACTATACCCGGGTTCCTGGTCATGTCACGTTGCAATTAATTTGTTGTTGTTTAGTCGTTTTAGTTGTGTCCGACTCTTCGTGATCCCATGGACCAGAGCACACCAGGCACTCCGGTCTTCCACTGCCTCCTGCAGTTTGGTCAAACTCATGCTGGTAGCTTCGAGAACACTGTCCAACCATCTCGTCCTCTCTCGTCCCCTTCTCCTTGTGTCCTCAATCTTTCCCAACATCAGGGTCTTTTCCAGGGAGTCTTCTCTTCTCATGAGGTGGCCAAAGTATTGGAGCCTCAGCTTCACGATCTGTCCTTCCAGTGAACACTGGAATTAATTAATTTAGATCTCCTTTTTTCCAGAATTGTTGTTAATGAGCAGAAAACTGTAAAGCTCACAAAATCCACTCAAAATCATTAACTCCGGTGTTTTTTTTTAAGTCTTGCTATATGCACTGGAGTGGTACAGAATTCACTTTCACCTGAAGCAGATCCTGCCGAACAGTTCGGTGTAACCGAAGTTTGCATACTGCTGCACTTAACAAAGTTGATCCATTGGAAAAAGTCTTCTATATTATGTTTACAGATTATGGAAGAAAACTTCCTAAGTTCACCAACAGATAATAAAAGAAACATGTGCTCAGACTGGGTGGTAGAATTCCTCGGTTATTAATTTCCACAAATACAAACATTTCACTATACTCAACATTAAACATGAGTGGTTTGACAATAAAAGTTTATTGCTGTATATTACACACACACATTTTTATTAGCTAGCTGGGATGGATCTAGGAGTGTGGAAAAAGTGTTCTAGATACAGGTAAAAAAACTAGATTAGATTATAGACAACCAAAGTAGTATTTCATATATTGTATTTATTTATATTTCTAAACCACACTTAATTAAAAAATAATCCCATACTGGGGACTTCTACCAGAGGCAAGACTCTGTGAGCTGTTCCAGGCAAATCAGGACAGTAGGTGACTAAGGAACATGTATAACACAGTACAGGATAATTATACACACCCCATTTTCCAAGCAGGAAGCAGTTCCACATGTTCAAGCACATAACCTGAGTTTGTTTCCTTGAATGATTTCCTTGAAGACTTAAGATGTTTCTATGATATAAGGTTTATTTACACATATATCCTGGTTGAGCAGAAGATAAGGATTGACATCATTAACTTCTACAGATATTATGCCTTTCTCCTATATAAGGAAACCCCCAATGCCATAGCACAGGATTCTCATTGAGGGCACATCAGGAATTTGTCTTTTTCAGACTCTGGACTTTTTCAGCACTGGCAGTCATTTGTTTTCTTAAAGCAGGGTTTCCCCAAATTGTGTCTCCAGCTGTTTTTGGACTACAATTCCCATCATCCCTGGCCACTGGTCCTACTAGCTAGGGATCATGGGAGCTGTGGAGGGAAGGTAAATAGTGTTTCCATGCACTCTGGCTTCTGCCACAGTGTCCCATTGCACCAGAAGCGGTTTAGTCATGCTGGCCATATGACCTGGAAAGCCATCTGCACACAAACGCTTGTTCTCTTGGCCTGAAAGCAAAGATGAGCGCCACACTCCATAGTCAAATTCGACTGGACTTAACCATCCAAGGGTCCTTTACCTTTACCTATGTGAAGGGCTATCCTTCCGACAAGTAGAATTTCCTCAAGTGATCTAAGTGATCTTACAGGTATACAAGTGGTCTTTCAGGTAATCTGTTCCCAGATTGCCATGTCTTTATATGTTAATAACAACACCTTGAACATGACCTGCTAACTCATATTGTTGCTATACTTTTAATGTGTGGTTGTTACATTGCAAAAATTTTAATTGTTAGGATTGTTCTCATTTTAAAAAATGTGATTTTAAAGTGTGTAATACATGAGGCTTAATCTGCACTATGAATACAGGGAATACATTTTAACATAAATATTTAAATTACATTTCTTCTTGCTTATTCTATACCTTTTCCCCATTTCTCAAATGTCAGTCTATAATGTAATTTGCTCAACTTTTACCATTTCTTCTCATTAATCTAGCATACATCATTGACAACATGATGCATGATGTACCATGATATTTTTTAAAAAAAACAACAACACACACACACACACAAGACAACTGTTGATTGGCTCATTGGCAATCTTACAACATGCTTTTAATTAACTGAGTATTCTAAAGTAGTTAACTGTCTCTAATGTGTTTTAAATGTCTGATCTGTTTGGAAGCTGAAGTTGTTAATCAGTGACCAAAAACACACACACTTGGAAATATAGAAAATATGCCCTGGGTGATTAGGTTCTCTTACCTTGTGTTTGTTTCATCTCTCCTACCCGAAAATGTTTTTCTGGTCTGACTCTAACTTTTGGCTTTCCTAAAATAATGTGAATTGGAACATAATTATGCTTGGGTTTTTGCACTTCTCTGAATTTTATGATATAGTCTTGAGTCAAAGCAGTACCAAAGTCTTTTTTTAAAAAAATGTATATTTCATGATAAGATAGTTTAGAAAGTCATACATTGAAATACATACATAGTATTTAGCTTGAGCACTGTACATGATGCAATGGTAAGCTCAAGGCTAGATTACTGCAATGCGCACTATGTAGAGCTGCCCTTGGGCCAGGTTTGAAAGCTCCAGCTGCTACAGAATACATCAGCCAGACTGCTGGTGGGGGCACCTGTCTAACCACTGTGATAATATTGTTGAAACATCTGCACTGAGCCAAATTAAAGGTTCTTGTATTAATTTACAAAGGTTCGGGGTGCCTTGGGGACTTCCTGAACCTTTATATCAAAGCTCAATCACTGAGATCATCTAAAGGAGCACTGCTGATCATTCCTCATGTTGGCAAGGTTCGTTTGAAAACAACAAGAAGCAGAATTATTAGTGTCATTGGCCCACTGTCATAGAATACTCTGCCACTAGAGATTCAGCAGGTGTTTCTTCTTCTTTTTTTAAAAAAGATATTTATTCCAGATTTAAAGTTACAAAAAAGAAAAAGAAAAACCATACAAAATACAAAGAAAACTTTAGCCATAGCATAGCAAGAAATAAACAAGTAAAAAAGAACAATAATATATAATAAAAGAGAAGACTTAACAAAAAATATAAAAATACATTGAGTTAAAGAAAAAACAAAAACAGATTAAACCTTTATAATAATAATAATAATAATAATAATAATAATAATAATAATAATAATAATTTATTATTTGTACCCCGCCCATCTGGCTGGGTTTCCCCAGCCACTCTGGGCGGCTTCCATAGAAACAAAAATACAGTAAAATATCACAGATTAAAAGCTTCCCTGAACAGGGCTGCCTTAAGATGCCTTCTAAATGTCAGGTAGTTATTTATCGCTTTGACATCTGATGGGAGGGCGTTCCACAGGGCGGGCGCCACTACCGAGAAGGCCCTCTGCCTGGTTCCCTGTAGCTTTGCTTCTCGCAATGAGGGAACCGCCAGAAGGCCCTCGGCGCTGGACCTCAGCGTCCGGGCAGAACGATGGGGGTGGAGACGCTCCTTCAGGTATACTGGGCCGAGGCCGTTTAGGGCTTTAAAGGTCAACACCAACACTTTGAATTGTGCTCGGAAACGTACTGGGAGCCAATGTAGGTCTTTCAAGACCGGTGTTATGTGGTCTCGGCGGCTGCCCCCAGTCACCAGTCTAGCTGCCGCATTCTGGATTAATTGTAGTTTCCGGGTCACCTTCAAAGGTAGCCCCACGTAGAGCGCATTGCAGTAGTCCAAGCGGGAGATAACTAGAGCATGCACCACTCTGGCGAGACAGTCCGCGGGCAGGTAGGGTCTCAGCCTGCGTACCAGGTGGAGTTGGTAGACAGCTGCCCTGGATACAGAATTGACCTGCGCCTCCATGGACAGCTGTGAGTCCAAAATGACTCCCAGGCTGCGCACCTGGTCCTTCAGGGGCACAGTTACCCTATTCAGGACCAGGGAGTCCTCCACACCAGCCCGCCCCTGTCCCCCAAAAACAATACTTCTGTCTTGTCAGGATTCAACTTCAATCCATTAGCCGCCATCCATCCTCCAACCGCCTCCAGGCACTCACACAGGACCTTCACCGCCTTCACTGGTTCTGATTTGAAAGAGAGGTAGAGCTGGGTATCATCTGCATATTGATGGACACCCAGTCCAAATCCCCTGATGATCTCTCCCAGCGGCTTCATATAGATGTTAAAAGCATGGGGGAGAGGACGGAACCCTGAGGCACCCCACAAGTGAGGGCCCAGGGGTCTGAACACTCATCCCCCACCACCACTTTCTGAACACGGCCCAGGAGGAAGGAGCGAAACCACTGTATAACAGTGCCCCCAGCTCCCAGCCCCTCTAGACGGTCCAGAAGGATGTTATGGTCGATTGTATCAAAGGCCGCTGAGAGATCCAGCAGAACCAGGAAACAACTCTCACCTTTGTCCCTAGCTCGCCGGAGATCATCAACCAGCGCGACCAAGGCAGTTTCAGTCCCATGGTGAGGCCTGAATCCCGATTGGAAGGGATCCAAATGGTCCGCATCCTCCAGGCGTGCCTGGAGTTGTTCAGCAACCACGCGCTCAATCACCTTGCCCAAGAATGGAAGATTTGAGACTGGGCGATAGTTGGCCATACTGGCCGGGTCTAAAGATGGTTTTTTAAGAAGCGGTTTAATGACCGCCTCTTTCAGCGGATCTGGGAATGTTCCCTCACAGAGGGAAGCATTCACCACCCCGCAGAGCCCATCGCCCAGCCCTTCCCGGCTTGCTTTTATTAGCCAGGATGGGCAAGGATCAAGGAGACAGGTGGTTGCTTTCACGCGTCCAAGCAGCCTGTCCACATCCTCGGGGGTAACGGATTGAAATTGATTCCATGCAACTTGACCAGACAGAGCTCTAGCACTCTCCCGCCCTGGCCCTGCTCCCACGGTGGTGTCTAGCTCCTTCCGAATATGAGTGATTTTATCTGCAAAAAACTTTGCAAAATCGTTGCAGGAGATCTTGGGGTCTTTACAATGCCCCGGTGGTAAAGGTGGTTCCGTTAAATTGCGAACCACCTGAAAGAGTCTCCTGCTACTATTTTCTGCAGATGCAATAGAGGCGGTGAAGAAAGTCTTCTTCGCCGTCGCTATCGCCACTTGGTAGGCTCGACGTTGAGCTCTAACCTGTGTCCGGTCAGATTCGGAGTGAGTTTTCTGCCACCGACGCTCTAGCCGTCTCAGCGATTGTTTCATCGCCCTCAGCTCCGAAGAAAACCACGGGGCTGTCCGGGCTCCATGCAATCGGAGAGGGCGCTTCGGAGCCAGACAGTCGATAGCCCTGGTTAACTCCGCATTCCAGCGGGCCACCAGGGAATCAGCTGAAAGGCCATCAACATGGGCTAAAGCATCCCCTACCACTCTCTGGAAACCATTTGGATCCATTAAGTGGCGGGGGCGGACCATCCGAATTGGTCCCACCTCCCTGCAGAGGGGAAGGGTCGCGGAGAAGTCCAGTTGCACCAGGAAGTGATCTGACCATGGCACTTCTTTTGTTTCACTTTTACTTAGTGTCAGATCACCCACGTCACTAGAGGTGAACACCAGGTCTAAGGCATGTCCATGACTATGAGTTGGGCCAAACTTATTCAGGGACAGCCCCATGGAGGCCATGCTTTCCACGAAGTCCCGAGCGGCCCCTTGTAAGGTCGTGTCGGCATGGATGTTAAAATCCCCTAGGACAACCAAACTAGGTGTCTCCAGGAGAAAATCCGCCACGACCTGAAGCAGCTCGGACAGGGAATCCTTGGTGCAGCGGGGAGGTCGGTACACCAAAAGGAATCCTGTACTGCCCCTATTGCCCAACTTCCAGAACATGCACTCAGAGAACTGGATCTTCCCAGTAGGACGCCTGGTGCAAGCTAGTGACTTCCTAAAAATCACTGCAACCCCCCCTCCCCGCCCACATGACCTGGGTTGCTGTGCGTAAGAGAAACCTGGTGGGCAAGCAGCGGCAAGGACAGGCCCATCTGCTTCCTCCAACCAGGTCTCCGTCACACATGCCAGGTCAAATCCTCCATCCACAATCAAGTCGTGGATGGCAGTGGTTTTATTCATCATTGACCTGGCATTGCACAGCAACACTTTCAGGTCATGTGGGTTTCCCCTGTTGATTCCAGTATCCATCCGGTCAAGGCCAGACCCGGAGGCAGGGATAGTCTTCAAACAACGACTAAACCTGCCTCCTCGGTAATGACATGGTCTGGTCTTAGCGTAACTCCGCCTCCTGCCCATGATCACCGAGATCGGATGTCCCAGCCATCGTGTTGGCTGGGGAGCCACTCCCAGGCAGCCCTGATCCCGCCCCTTAAAAACAAAACACAAACTATACAGAACCAATAAAACAACAACAACAAAAAGGAACAGAACAATTATACTAAAATTAATCCCCAACCAACTATCCATCCCACCCACCCCCAACAAAGGAAAAAAGAGAAAAAAGGAATAAAAATAAAAATTGAAATTGCCACCGACTGCTTGAGGACATTTTAAAGCACATTAACCACCTGGAACAGGGAAGCAATGGCAGAACACTTCCCACACTTCCCCAAAAGTTTGTTCCAAATAACCTTTTCCTCTTTACTTATGTACTTATGTAACCTTTACATAACCTTTTTCTCTTTACTTATTTCCATGACCTCCTCTCACCTCCCAGTTTTGTATTCTAGTTCAAATCGTATTTCCAGCAAATCCTTCTAGCCTTATTTTCATTTACGTATTTTAAAATTAGAATAATGTGGTTAAACCTCCTCTAATTCATCAATTTCATCATCTCATTTTTGCTTAGTCCATTATATCATATCTACCAGAACGACCTAATATTCTTTCTCCAACCTCTTTCTAGCATTCTTTTATATTACAGTACTTTTGAAGATATATTTTGAATTTTTTCCAATCTTCTTCCATCGACCCTTCTCCCTGATCTCGAATTCTGCCAGTCATCTCAGCCAGTTCCATGTAGTCCATCACTTTCATCTGCCATTCTTCCTCGGGTGGGCAATTCTTGTGTCTTCCAGTACTTCCCGATGAGTATTCTTGCTGCTGTTGTAGCATACATAAAGAAAGTTCTATCCTCCCTCGCACCAATTGGCCGACCATGCCCAGAAGAAAGGCCTCTGGTTTCTTCAGAAAGGTATATTTAAATACCTTTTTCAGTTCATTATATATCATTTCCCAGAAAGCCTTAATCCTTGGGCATGTCCACCAAAGGTGAAAGAATGTACCCTCAGTCTCTTTACATTTCCAACATTTACTCTCTGGCAAATGATAGATTTTTGCTAGCTTGACTGGGGTTAAGTACCACCTGTAAATCATTTTCATTATATTTTCTCTTAAGGCATTACAAGCCGTAAATTTCATACCTGTGGTCCATAACTTTTCCCAGTCAGCAAACATAATGTTATGTCAAATCTTGTGCCCATTTAATCATAACAGATTTAACCGTTTCATCCTGTGTATTCCATTTCAACAGCAAGTTATACATTCTTGACAGATTCTTAGTTTTAGGATCTAACAATTCTGTTTCCAATTTTGATTTTTCCTCCTGGAAACCAATCTTCTTATCAGCAGGTGTTTCAACTTTTGAGCACCTTCTGAAAACATTTCTGTTCCATCAGGCTTATACAAGCAATTGAGAATATATATTTCCACAATAGTTGCCCGATTTCTAAATTTAACATTTAATGTTGTTTTTACAAAGTCCAGTATATCTGAAGGAGCGTCTCCACCCCCATCATTCTACCCGGACACTGAGGTCCAGCACCGAGGGCCTTCTGGCGGTTCCCTCACTGCGAGAAGCCAAGTTACAGGGAACCAGGCAGAGGGCCTTCTCGGTAGTGGTGCCTTCCCTGTGAAACGCCCTCCCACCAGATGTCAAAGAGAACAACTACTACCAGACTTTTAGAAGACATCTGAAGGCAGCCCTGTTTAGGGAAGCTTTTAATGTTTGATGTATTATAGTATTTTAATATTTTTTTGGAAGCCGCCCAGAGTGGCTGGGGAAGCCCAGCCAGATGAGCAGGGTATAAATAAATTAGTAGTAGTAGTAGTAGTAGTAGTAGTAGTAGTAGTATGTGTTCAGTCAAAAAGCCATTCAGCCATGCTTCCAGATTAAACCTTTTTTAAAAAAAAATCTGTATGAAGATTTATCTTTAGAGATTATTTAAATACATATTTATTTATAAAAAAATAGTTATACACCAATATATATATAAAGTATCAGAGCAGTTTACAACAATTGTACACAATATCGTATAATAATAATAATAATAATAATAATAATAATAATTTATACCCTGCCCATCTGGCTGGGCTTCCAGACTTTTAGAAGACATCTGAAGGCAGCCCTGTTTAGGGAAGCTTTTAATTTTTGATGTATTATAGTATTTTAATATTTTTTGGGAAGCCGCCCAGATGGACGGCTGTGAGTCCAAAATGACTCCCAGGCTGCGCACCTGGTCCTTCAGGGGCACAGTTACCCTATTCAGGACCAGGGAGTCCTCCACACCCGCCCGCCCCCTGTCCCCCCAAACAGTACTTCTGTCTTGTCAGGATTCAACCTCAATCCGTTAGCCGCCATCCATCCTCCAACTGCCTCCAGATACTCACACAAGACCTTCACCGCCTTCACTGGTTCTGATTTGAAAGAGAGGTAGAGCTCGGTATCATCCGCATACTGATGAACACCCAGCCCAAACTCCCTGATGATCTCTACCAGCGGCTGCATGTAGATGTTGAAAAGCATGGGGGAGAGGACAGAACCCTGAGGCACCCTGAGTGAAAGCCCAGGGGTCTGAACACTCTCCCCCCCCCCACTTTCTGAACACGGCCCTGCAGGAAGGAGTGGAACCACTGTATATAACAGTGCCCCCAGCTCCCAGCCCCTCTAGACGGTCCAGAAGGATGTTATGGTCGATGGTGTCAAAAGCCACTGAGAGATCCAGCAGAACTAGGAAACAGCTCTCACCTTTGTCCCTAGCCCACCGGAGATCATCAACCAGTGCAACCAAAGCAGTTTCAATCCCATGATGAGGCCTGAATCCCAACTGGAAGGGATCCAGAATTAAACACATGCATCTATTCCAGCTAGAGCTCATATCCATTTTGTACATTGGGGTTCACTGGAAGTTCTTTTTCTACCTTGCATCAAAAACAGAAGCTATACTTGCGACCTCCACCTCTTTACTCTCTGCCTGAAAACTAGCTTTTCTGTGCTTTGTGTCGCATGCTGAAATTTTGTCTTGTTAACCTGCATCCACAAGTCCCACCGGCAGCCAACCTGAGCTGTGGCCTCTTCGTCATCTGGCGCTCTGCTCTAGAAAGGTGTTAACAGAGACCTGCTGACCCAAGTGGTTGAGGGAGTAAGAGCATATGACTGCTCATTAGGAAAAAGCTTCACAGTTTCTCTTCTACAGATATGCTGGTAGGGCAAAATGACAGCTGAGACACTGTTATTCCCAGACAACCTGCTCTAGTCAGGAGCCTGCCCATTTTACAAGACATTTCCACATCTTCTGTTCTCACACCAAGGAACACATTACTTTATTTTTATTTACTTGCATGATTTCTATCCCATTTTTCCTGTGTAAGATACCTCAAAGCTGTTGCTTTAAAAATGTGATTGCTTTTAAAGAGAATTATGATTACTTCCCTTCTCTTCAAGTCCACTTGCTGCTTAGTTTCCAGGCTCAAATCAAGTTGCTGTTCTTAAAAGCCTTAATAGCTTGCCACCTGGGTACCTTAGGAACCACCTTTCCTTGTACATTCCTTCCTGCATGCTATGATAGTCATCTGGAACCCTGCCGCAAACCTCACCACCTCCAGAGGCAAGGCTGGGGTCAACTAGGGCTAGGACCTTTTCTGGTTGTGGCACCTACTCATCTTGCTGAGTGAGTTCCACCAGGATCCATTACTATGCTGCTTCAGGCAGTTGATGAAGACCTGACCTTTTTAAAGGACTTTTTAAGGTTTAGCTGGTTTGGTTCAATACTATTTTTTGCATTGCTAGATCTGTTAGATGGGTTGCATATTAACTTAATGAATTTGAGTGTATATTCTGAATTTCTAGGGATTGTATTTGTTTTATTCCATTGCTGTTCTATTTCATTACTGTTGTTAGTTGCCCTGAGTCTCTTTACCTATAGCCCCTTATCACATATATGTGGAAAGTGGCATTAGCTAGTTTAATTACCAAGTGGCACTGGGGTTCCTTGTATCTGGAGTCAGGCACTTCCTGTTGCTATTGTGGTTTGAGAAAGACAGTCATAGTCTTTTCTAGCTTCCTGATTGGCATGTCTAGTAAACCAGGGATGAGGAAACTGTGGCCCTCAGGATGCTGTTAAACTCCAACTCCCATCAGCCCCAGCCAACCTCCCCATTGCCAGGACTGCCTTCAACTGTTTTCATCTGTTTTCAAATGGCAGCAAGGCAAGGGATAATCGATCTGCAGTGAGATTTTATTTTTGGAAGGGAAGTACAGTGGTACCTCGGGTTAAGTAGTTAATTCATTCTGAAGGTCTGTACTTAACCTGAAACTGTTCTTAACCTGAAGCACCACTTTAGCTAATGGGGCCTCCTGCTGTTGCCGTGCCACCGGAGCACAATTTCTGTTCTCATCCTGAAGCAAAGTTCTTAAACTGAAGCACTATTTCTGGGTTAGTGGAGTCTGTAACCTGAAGCGTATGTAACCTGAAGCATAAGTAACCCGAGGTACCACTGTAGTTCTCAAGAAGCACTTTTCAGGGACAAAAAATATGCAGTAGATCTAGACTGTGTGTGGACTACATGGGGGGGGGGGAGTACTCAGTCAAAATTGACTGGTGTGTGTGTGTACTCAAATTTGTTTGGGAGGGTGCCAAACTGGGTCTTAGACCCAGGTGAAATAAAGCCTGTTTTCGCCCCTGTCAAATGATCCCCAGCCGACGAGAGAGGCTTTTGCATCCCCCACCTGTTAGGAACCCTGGCGGAAGAGTCTGCGGAGGCAACAGGATGCCACCATTGCCGCAACGCTGCGCTGCCCTTGGTGGTAAGGGAATACATGGACAGATTTGGCCACTCTGTCTTTGCCCTGTGCTGAAACAATGCAGCAAAACGCAATGTAACAAAAGTGGGACTAGAGATTCTGTAAGGAAAACAGAGTAAAAGCAATTTGCAGCTACTGCCACAGGCTTTTACATGGCTTCTTGTCGCACTATTAGCTCTGGCTGACTAAAGATAGATTAAAAATTCAGCAAGGC